CTGTGTCCCAGGCTTCTTTATTTAAGAAAAAAGTGATACATGTGGGGATTAAAATCAAGAGCATCATTGAACTTCACCTTCCCTTTAACCAGTTGCCCCAAACTCCCCTGCCCTCACCCTTTGTGTTCCCAATCCCTTCCTTAGTGAATGAAGAACTTAATCCTAAAAGCCCTGGCACAAACTCCAGGTTCTCCTTCCCTAGCTTCTCCTCTCTCCCTGTCCCCCATTCCTAGGACAGGCACCTCAGTTGGAATGCATGGGAGAGCCCAGAGTGGGGACAGAGACAGGGGGGAAGGCTTCCCCCTCAGGGAAAGGGACCCAGGAGTACAGTGCAGTAAAATGAGGGCTCCCATAGCCTGGGGTACCAAAATGGGGCCCTGGGGCCAGAGGAAAGGACACTGGTCCCCCTGAGAAAGGAGACCCAGCAGCCTCAAAATCCTCTCGTTGTGCATAGTCACTGCTTGATCGCTTGCCCTTCTGGCGCCGGTTACAGAACCACACACGGACCACCTGTGAGTGGAGAGTGACATTAGACAATGAGCGGAGAGACGGGACTGACCCTACTGGGTCATTCTGCCCAAAGCCAACAGCCCTAGGGTGGTTGGAGGAGGAGCCAGAGCTAGGGAAAGCAGAGGTCGTGACACAGGAAAGAGATGGAGCCCGTGGAGAGGCTTGTCACTCACATCCTTCTCAAGCCCAAGCTGCTGGGCGATGTGGCTGATCTGCTGAAGTGTGGGTTTCGGGCACTGCAGGAACAAATTCTCCAGGTTGCCTCTCACTCGGTTCTCGATACTGGTTCGCTTTCTCTTTCGGGCCTGCACGAGGGTTTCTGCTTTGCATATCTCCTGAAGATTTTCATTGTTATCTGCTTCCTCCACCCACTTCTGCAGTAAAGGCCGCAGCTTACACATGTTCTTGAAGCTAAGCTGCAGAGCCTTAAAGCGGCAGATGGTCGTTTGGCTGAACACCTTTCCAAACAGAACCCCCAGGGTGAGCCCCACATCGGCCTGTGTATATCCCAGAGTGATCCTCTTCTGCTTTAGGAGCTTGGCAAATTGCTCGAGTTCTTTCTGCAGAGCTTTGATGTCTTGGGACTCCTCCGGGTTTTGTTCCAGCTTCTCCTTCTCCAGCTTCACGGCACCAGGGGGGATGGTGCAGGGCTCCGGGGAGGCCCCCTCGGAGTTGCTCTCCACCCCGGCTCCTGCTTCGCCCTCAGGCTGAGAGGTCTCCAAGCCGCCTTGGGGTACTAGCCCCACTCCAACCTGAGGCCCACAGTATGCCATCCCCCCACACAACTCATACGGTGGGGGGCACGGGGGAATCCCCCACACCTCAGAGCCTGGCCTAACCCCTGGCCCGATTCCTGGCCCTCCAGGAGGGCCCTGGAAGCTTAGCCAGGTCCGAGGATCAACCCAGCCCGTCTCCGGCCCCCCTGGCCCATCACCTCCACCACCTGGAGGGGGCGAGAAGGCAAAATCCGAAGCCAGGTGTCCCGCCATGGGGGAGGAAGGCGCCCCAAGCCGGGGGCCTGGTGAAATGAGGGCTTGCCAAGGGACTAAGATGTCTCTTTATTATGGATTCTCTAATAATTTGCAATGGTTGTAACTACTGAAAACATTGTGAGAATCGTTACATTAAGTTTCCCTATACCATGGATCGCTTGATGGTGGATAAGTGTTGACTGCACACCAAAGGCTTTGCCACACTCATTACATTTGCAAGGTTTCTCTCGAGTATGAACTCTCTAATGTTGTGCAAGCTGTGTTAATCACAAACCTTGCCACACTCATTACACTTGTCAGTTTATCTCCAGAATGAATTGCCTTATGAATTATAAGGTCTGAATTATGAGTGAAGATCTTGCTACCCTCATTACACTTCTAAGGTTTCCTCTCCAGTATGAAGTTTACAATAGACTACAAGAGATGACATCTGACTGAAGGTCTTGCCACACTCATTGCATTTCTAAAGTTTTTCTGCAGTATGAAGTCTACGATGCCTTATAAGGGATACCTTTTGAATGAAAGTCTTGCAACACTCATTACACTTGTAAGGTTTCTCTCCTGTATGAATTCTGCGATGAACTAAAAGGGATGATGAATGACTGAAGGTCTTGCCACACTCATTACACTTGTAAGCTTTCTCTCCAGTATGAAGACTACGATGGCATTTCAGGGATGACACCTGACTGAAGGTCTTGCTACACTCATTACACTTGTAAGGTTTTTCTCCAGTATGAAGTCTGCGATGAACTAAAAAGGATGATGACTGACGGAAGGTCCTGCCACACTCATTACACTTGTAAGGTTTCTCTCCTGTATGAATTCTGCGATGAACTGAAAAGGATGATGACTGACGGAAGGTCTTGCCACACTCATTGCACTTGTAAGGTTTCTCTCCTGTATGAATTCTATGATGAACTACAAAGGATGACTGACTGAAGGTCTTGCCACACTCATTACACTTGTAAGGTTTCTCTCCAGTATGAATTGCCTTATGGTTTACAAGGGCTGAATACTGACGGAAGTTCTTGCCACACTCATTACACTTGTAAGGTTTCTCTCCAGTATGACAACTACGATGGTATGTAAAAGATGATATCTGACTGAAGGTCTTGCTACACTCATTACACTTGTAAGGTTTCTCTCCAGTATGAAGTCTATGATGAACTAAAAATGATGATGACTGACGGAAAGTCCTGCCACACTCATTACACTTGTAAGGTTTCTCTCCTGTATGAATTCTGTGATGAACTGAAACAGATGACATGTGACTGAAGGTCCTGCCACACTCATTACACTTGTAAGGTTTCTCTCCAGTATGACTTCTAAGATGATATACAAGCTGTGACTTTTGATTAAAACCCTTGCCACATTCATTACATGTATAAGGTTTCTCTCCAGTATGAATTCTATTATGTCTTTCAACGTGTGATCTACAAATAAAAACTTTGTCACATTCTTCACATTTATAAGGTTTCTCTCCAGTATGAAATCTACAGTGATGTGAAAGGAGTGCTTGTTTATTAAGAACCTTGCCACATTCGTTACATGTGTAAGGTTTATTTCCAGTGTGAATTTTATGATGGGATTGCAGGGATGACTTCCGGTTGAAGGTCTTGCCGCACTCGTTACACTTGTAAGGTTTCTCTCCAGTATGAAGTCTATGATGGCATGTAAGGGATGACATTTGAGTAAAGGTCTTGCCACACTCATTACACTTGTAAGGTTTCCCTCCAGTATGAGCTCCATGGTGGCATACAAGGTTGTGCTTCTTATGAAAGACTTTGCCACATATATCACATTTGTTTTGTTTCTCTCCTGAATGGGTTATTTCATGTCTCCTTAAGAGTGAACTATTATGAAAGGCTTCGCCACACCTAATACAATGGAAAGGTTTTTCTCTCATGTGTACTTCCTGTTTTTGTGTGAATAACGAAGAATGGAGGACATTATTCTCATGCTTATTAGAAACATGGGTTTTGAGCATACAAGAAATTTTTTGGGCTGTTGAAACTGAGGAATCATCATTGACAGACTTCTCTACTTGATTATCAATGTTTCCGTCGGTCTGAAATATGTGCAGATGCGAATGAAAGCTTAATCCAAGCTGATCTCCAATAGGCTTCTTGCCAGCACACCTTTCCTCATATTGCTGTGTACTACCAGTCAACTCCTTGGGTTCTGTCATGAGTGCTTCATGGCCATTTCCTTTGACTTCTTGCCACTGAAACTCAAACTCATGAATATCTTTCTCAACTTCTGGGAAGCAAAAATCTCCAATGTGATGACTTGTATATTTTCCCAATGTCCCTGTGTGGATCCCTTCTCTTGTACTCCCTTGCCCTGCTGGTGAGAACTTCATCATGGATTTTAAAAACCTATCTGAAAAATATAAAGACCAGTAGGTTTCCAATTAAGTACAGATAGTAAATAATAGGTAATATTGAAATGTATAAATACTACACAAAGAACAAGAGTTATTATAAACTTCCCAAATGTGATCTTCAAAGTTTATGAACACCCACTTACTAAAAAGACAAAAATTAGTCAGATGTGGTGGTGAGTTCCTGTTAATTCCAGCTACTCAGGAGGCTGAGGCAAGAGAATCGCTTAAACCCAAAAGGTGGAGGTTGCAGTGAGCAGAGATTTCACCATTGCACTCCAGCCTGGGCAACAAGAGCAAAATTTTGTGTCAGAATAAAAAAAGAGTTCAATCAAGAGACTTATGTGTTAAACTTCCCATATCTTTTGGTGGTTAAAAAACCAACAAATAAAAAAAAATATTAAAAAATTTAAAAACCAACAAATAAAAAAATACATATATATGAAGCAGTCAGCCCAAACAATGTCTACATAGTGACTGCTGCTTAGAGAAGATGATCATTAGTTTATGTGAAGAACACTGTCACAGTGCCAGTGAGAAATGCTTCTATGATGCTCCTCAAAAACCAGAACGAAAGGCCGGGCATGATGGCTCACACCTGTAATCTCAATGAACTGAGATCATGACAGTGTACACCAGCCTGGACAATAGAGGGAGACTCTATTTCAAAAACAAATAAACAAACAGAAACACAGCTGGAAACACTTGTCAGTCAGTGTCATGCTTTCTATCTTGTATCCTGGACCATGCAGACAATTCTGCTCAGGGACTCCTGGGGCATCTCTGCCTAGAGCAGGATGATGTTCAACTGCATTGGTCCACGTGTTCATGGATTTCTGTTTTTATGTAAAGCCACTGCATAGGAGAGCCCTAAGAAGCTACTGATGCCTGATAGAAGGGTCCTCGCTGCAGAAAACAATGACATGTACATCAAAAGCATATATGGGGCAAAATTGCAACAGAGAATACAAACCAGGAAGAGCCAAGATAGACAAGGGCAGATTCCTCATGTCTGGAGGGACATTTTTCTCACCCACAGACTCCAGGTTCCTGTAGTTCTCCAACATCACTTCTCTGTATAAAGCCCTCTGCGCATGGGTTAGGCATTTCCACTCTGCCAAAGAGAATTCTATAGCCACATCCCTGAAAGTCAAGCGTCCCTAAAATGAAAAACACATTTCAACAAAACGTTATGGAGGAGTGAGTTATCATCTTCAAATGAAATAAGAAAAAAGAAAATAAGTATTGATTTGATCCCAGATTGTGTTTTGACAAATCCACAGTAGGTATCTTTGAACATTTTTTCTGTGTAGTTGCTTTTTATTATACTTTTCCATAATAAATTTTAAAATCTTCTAAGCCATTGTGGAAGTCTCTGCTGAATACGGAGGCTGTTTGTAATCCAAGCACTTTGAGAGGCAAAGGTGGGTGGATTGCCTGAGCTCAGGAGTTTGAGACAATCCAATGCAACATGGTAAAAGCCGGTCTCTACCAAAAATACAAAAAAAAATTAACTGGGTGTGGTAGCATACATTTCTTGTCCCAGCTTCTTGGGAGGGCGACACAAGAGGTTCACTTGAACCGCAGTGGCAAATTTCACAGTCAGCTGAGATTACACCACTGCACTCCACCTTGGGCTGCAGAGTAAGACTGTCTAAAATATACATATATATATGTATATAAAAATAAGGGAAGGCATAGTGGTTCACACCTGTAATCTCATCACACTGGGAGACTTAGGTGGGTAAATCACTTGAAGTCAGGAGTTTGAGACGAACCTAGACAACCTGGCAAAACCTAGTATCTATCAAAAATTTAAAAGTTAGCTGGGCATGGTGGGGGAAAGCCCCTGTAATCCCAGCTGTTTAGGAAGCTGATGAAGAGGAATCACTTGAACTCTGAAGGCGGAGATTGCAGTAAGCTTTGATCATGCCACTGCTCTCTGGCCTAGGCAACACAGTGAGACTCTTAAAAAAAAAAAAAAAAGTATATATATACATGCATACACACACACATCAAAAAAAAAAAAAAATATATATATATATATATAAGTAGTTAATCATGTGTTTCTACACACTGTGGGTTTGGCCAGGCACAGTGGCTCAGGTCTGTAATGCCAGTACTTATAGAGGTCAAGGCGAGCAGATCACAAGATTGCAAGATTGAGACCATCCTGGCCAACTAGTTGAGACTCCATCTCTACAAAAAATACAAAAATCAGCTGGGTGTGGTGGCAAGCAGCTGTAGTCCCAGCTACGCGGGAGGTTGATGCAGGAGAATCACTTGAACTAGGGAGGTGGAAGTTGCAGGAGCTGATATAGCATCACTGCACTCCACTCTGTCAACAGAGTAAGACTCTGTCCTAAATAAATAAATAAATAAATAATGGTTTATCCATTAGTACACTACTGCACACACTTCAAATCACATCTACATACACACTTATGGGCAACTTCAGGTTAAGACATTACAAGCAAAAACCTAGAGAGGACACATCAACAGCTACTTGCCAGACTGAGCTGGGAGGATTGCCTGAGCCCTGAGAGCAGAGGTTGAATTGAACCAAGATCACACCATTGCACTCCATCCTCGGGGACACTGTGAGACCCCATTACCCCCACCCCCAAAGAGTTGGAAGCTCATTGAATTAAGAGAAAACTTTAAAAAATTATAAAAAGCGGGCCGGGCGCGGTGGCTCACGCCTGTAATCCCAGCACTTTGGGAGGCCGAGGCG